TATTTGATGCATTAATTATGAGATTTGTAATAGAAACATTCATTGGAGCCTCATCACTTGTCATTAGGTAATGTAGTGTATATATGTATGTACATGTATGGTGTAATATTTATTGTAGAGAATGAAGAAAAGGAGAAAGAGTCATTGCAGCAGAGTGAGGTGGAACCAGAAGAAGTAAGTTTTTTTATTATTTTACAAATAAGTGCCTTATACTTATAGGAATACATGGATCAGCATTATACACAAGAAGACAGTGGATCTGGTGAAGGATATGCTTGTCTGATGTTTTATGAGAAGAATTCTTTTATATATTTCACTGCTGTACCAGCTAAAATGGTGATTGCCCTTCTTGAGGTAATGATGATGATGATGATGATGATGATAATGATAATAATAATGATAATAATAATAATGTAATTTAATGTACTTAACATAATAGTACATCAAAGATCATCATCGTTTTGCTGAAGTTGGTCCAATTCATTATTTTCATTTCAAATGGTTTAATGGTTTTATTGAATTGAATTTTAATGAGAAACCACCAGCTGGTTGGACTCTCATTCCATTAATTAAATCTTGCAGGGTAAGGTTATTAATATATTAGTTTATTAATTGATTCAGTTCCTTTAGTTATATCAAGAGGATATTGATTCATTTGATGGAACTGATGAGTCTATTCCTCCATATTGTTTCATATCATTTCAAGGATCACCTGATGCTGTTCCTACACTACACTACTCAGTACCACTGGTGGGTGTGGCTGATCCTGTTACATTATTTATTCATAGAACAATGAAAAGCACTGCTCCACCAGCTGGTATGTACTATATCAATATTGTACAGTGTAACTAACTATTGTATTAATGTATAGCCCCTTATACTGGACTGGTCTATCATGAGAAGAAGGAAGAGGAACATTTGATAATATTCACTGCAGCAAAGTACAAGGATATTAGTAATGCTGTAAATGTAAGTTATAATATTTGTAATCAAGAGTTTAATGATTAATATATACTTCACTTTTATACAGTGCATAGAGAATCAGTATCCGTTAGCTAGAGTTAATCAACTTATTGGTTTTGATTTTGACTCAAATCATGGTCATATTGAATTGATACTTGATGCTTCTCAAGATCAGTCAATCACTGGATGGACTATTAAACCTCATTCCACTAAAGTATGTAAAGTTTTGTTTATATTTTGACTGTGGCATATTTTTATATAGTTACTCAAAGATCAAGTTGACAGATTTAGTTTTACTAAAAATCTTCCTCCATCTTGTCTGGTATCATTTCAAGGATCACCTTTAGCTGATCCTACACTACATTACTCTGTACCACTGGTGGGTGTGGCTGAACCTAAAACAATTGATTTATTGTTGAAATCTCCTACGACATCATCACAAGGTAAATATATTTAAAT